CTGATGGGTGTCCTACTGAAATACCGGAAGGTGGTCATCTAGAAGCATTAGAAAAACTTAAGAAAAAAATTAATTTCACTTGTACTGTTAATACATTTGGCTTCGGATATCAGCTGGATAGTAAATTACTTGAAGATATTTCTATATTAGGCAATGCTGGTTCATATGCATTTATTCCTGATGGAGGATTCGTTGGAACGATCTTTGTTAATGCTATTTCGACATTATTAACAACAACAGCAACTAATGTACAGGTAATGATTCTCTTCAAAGTTGATTTGAATTTTATCCGATAAAATAAGTAAATTATAAGAAACACTAAAATTCTTCTGATTTTGATTATCGATTTTTTTTCTATTTATTAATATTCAATATATGATATTCTTCTTTTATAGTTCTTGATTCATGATGTACATATTGAAGATTCTGATTACACTCGTTGGTATTCAACAAGTCAAACTGAACATGGTACTTTATTGGATTTGGGTTCCATCACATATGGTCAAAGCAAAGATTTACTTATTTCATATTCTCATCAACTGTCGAATCAATGTAACTTCACTGTGACATATGACAATGCACAAAACATTAAGAAAACTATTGAATTTCATGCGTCGAACAATCTTCAACAGGCTAATCCAAATCTAATCCGTCGACAGAAATTTCGTTTACNAATATCAAAATAAACTTACGTGTTAAACTAGGCAAAAAATGCACACCCCATTTTTTGAACCATTCCACTTTTCCGATAGATTCTTTTACTTGTCCTGTTAAATCACTAAATAAATCTTTAATAAATTCTTCTGATTTTGATATTCGATTTTTTTTTCTATTTATTAATATTCAATATATGATATTATTCTTTTATAGTTCTTGATTCATGATGTACATATTGAAGATTCTGATTACACTCGTTGGTATTCAACAAGTCAAACTGAACATGGTACTTTATTGGATATGGGTTCCATCACATATGGTCAAAGCAAAGATTTACTTATTTCATATTCTCATAAACTGTCGAATCAATGTAACTTCACTGTGACATATAACAATGCACAAAACATTAAGAAAACTATTGAATTTCATGCGTCGAACAATCTTCAACAGGCTAATCCAAATCTAATCCGTCGACAGAAATTTCGTTTACAATTTGTTCATTCAGTACGAACAGCATTAGAACATATGCGTCAAACAAAAACAAACATAACAGAAGAAAAACAGAGACATGAAGAAGCAATCAATCAAATTGAAAAATTAGAAAACGATATGAAGAGTTATGCAAATGGAACAGACGAATTTATTAAAGATTTATTTAGTGATTTAACAGGACAAGTAAAAGAATCTATCGGAAAAGTGGAATGGTTCAAAAAATGGGGTGTGCATTTTTTGCCTAGTTTAACACGTAAGTTTATTTTGATATTTTTTAATAAGAACTTTAAGGAGAAGAATTCAAGACATGTGGATGTACCATTTATCATTGAAAATTTTTCTTGTCTTTTCTTTCAGTTAGGAAAAACAATCCGGAGTATTTTGAAATAGCTGCATAGGAATAATGGAAAAAGAGATTGATTAAAATGAGCGTAGTGAAATCGAAATAACAAGAGAGATTATTGATGATTAAAATTATTTTCTTTAGGTGCACATCTTCTTCAATTTTGTAACAATTTTAAAGATCCAGGTGTTCAACATTACGGAAAGGGTTCACTTTTCTCACAAATACGAGATGAAATGGATGATATATTTTGTGGTTTACCAGCTCCAAGACGCACAGAAACTGGTGCTACTATAGATATGTCAGTTTTTAATAATGCATCTGGTGGATGTTTTTATGGAGAATGTATTGTACGTCTTATGAATGGTTCTTCGAAATTAGTAAAAGATGTTCAACCTGGTGATCGATTAGCACCACATGGTGGAATGGTGAAATTTGTTGTGAAAACAATATGTAAAAATCGAAAAGCTAAAATGGTTATAGTGAGTATCAATGAATTTATTTTTCACTAGATGCTGAATATTATAATCGTTTTATTATTTCGAAGGTTGAAAATAACTTAATTATAACTGCTTGGCATCCTATTCGCGTGAATCAACAATGGATTATGCCTTGTTCACTTGTCTCATCACCCAATGAGATTTTATGTGAAGCTGTATATAATTTTGCACTCGATCGGGGTCATACAGTATTAGTAAATGATGTTGAATGTGTCACTTTAGGTCATGGATTTCAAGAAGATGTTGTGCGTCATGCATATTATGGAAGTGAACGAGTAATTAAAGATTTAGAAAAGTTGAATATGCAACAAAATAATGGAGGGATAATTGAAATTAGTGAGAAAATGTTACAACGTAAGAATAAAACTGGTCTTGTAAAAGGATTACAGTGGCAAGAAATATTAGTTCAATGAACAAAAAAAAGACATGATTTACTTATGACTAGTGATTTTTGGGAAACGCTTGTCTAATGTCGAATCAAATTTTGTGAATTTTAATTTAAACGTAATAAATCATTGATCGAAGTCAAGCTAATATGATAAAGTACTCTATTACTAAACTGTCTGAATATGATAAACTAACAGTTACATTGTCTTTCTTAATTGCAGATTACGTAGTTATCTGCGCATTATTTTCAGTTACAGTCTCATATTTTTATTTGCATTGTGGGCCAAGCGAATACTGTTTGGTTTTTTGTTATCTGAGCTTTATGGCGTGATCGATTGCGTTGCCAAAATACAATGCAGCAGAGATCTAACGTAACTAATAATCAGTAGCGTCTATATCCACATCATGCAAGACTCTATACTTTTTGATAATTGAATCTAAAGATAAAATTTGCATGCAAAATGTGGGTGCGGGGTGTGAATTGTGACAAGGCTAAGATGTAAACTTTACACCGATATTCACATTCGAACAGTGTTCAATGTTGTCACTTTTCAAATGTATGTTCATGATAAACAAACTTTCCAATATCATGATAGTGTGCGAGGTATAGGAGCCGTGGTGAGTACGATGATCCTAACTGTACCATTCACACCGACGTCCGTACCCATACTCTTACATCTAGCTTCCATACTTTTCAAAAGCTATAACTCTCAAATGTTCAAACAGAAACCATCAGAAAGAATGCATAACTCACATATGATTGGAGCATAAATGGACTATTATCCTGTTTAAACTCTAAAATCTAAAATGAGGGATGATGAAGGAATGCGCTTCGATTTACATAAATAAGAATAGTTTTAACAATATTACCAACAGCAGGTATATCGGTTAAGTCAAAGGTGGTAGTTTGAGGGGTTACTTATTACATCAATTAGAATGAATAAAAATTTCGTGTAATTATCTACAAAGTATTTAAAAATAGTTGATAAGCTTAAATAAAATAGGAAAGGTATAGGGAAGATAAAGTGTTGAAAAAGATGTTTCCAACTTTTGAAAAATAACATCTGCAGAATTCAAAATTTAATTGCATAGAAAAGAAGAAACGAAATACTAATTTTTCTTCAAAGCAACTTCTCTCGGAAAAATACGATTGGCTATATCTATTCACTTTTTTTAATTTAAATAGCACAGTAAACATAGCATTATACGTTTGATTCTTTTTAACCAATCCTGAGACACCTTTCATCAGTAAACTGTTTGAAGAGACAGATGAGCGACATCAGCTCAAATTTTTTAAATAAAAAGACAAAACAAATGCCTTTTGCAAGTTTTTTTTTTCTGTACTCATTAAAAATAACCCGTGAGCTGTCTTTAAGTGATGTCTGAAAAGTTATATTTTAGGATATCATTTTGAGTGTAGAGAAGTTCTATTTCTATTGATAGGATACGATCTCAGGAGAATAATCAATTCATTTTTTTAGNAGTAGACTTGATTATCATGTCCTCTTATAGCAAGCTGCAATCTTGTGAAATAAGATCTAAAAGGAGTTTTCAAATATTAAGGTAGAAATATGGGTTTTAATCCTGCAGGTATTGCGCTAACAGCTTTTCTTTTGGAAACTAAATATTTTGAATAAAACATGTTCGTTGTCTTAGACATGTTCAGGACTATATAACACGAGAAAACAACTTCAATTAAAATTCGTCGTTTCAACTGATATTAGACTCACAAGGAAATGCTGATAAAACTAGAAAAATCCAAAAAGGATTCATGTCCATCAATCTCTGAAGCTCAGCTACAACTATTTTACTGATTTTTCAACTTGTATTTTTTTCCAAAAATAAATCTAACGATCCTTAGAATATCCTGAGAGTTTCAGCTGATAAAAATGTTCTACTGTCGAGATATTGAACTTCCAAAAAATTGTCACTTGTCGCAAAAGCCGACTTTATTTGGAAACTCAATAGTTCAACAATGGAACATTCTTTTCGGCTGAAACTTTCAAGATATTCCAAAGATCATTAGATCTATCTATGAGCAAAATTGCAAGTCGAAATTCTATTATTTGATATTCAAATAAATACCTAAAGTTGGGTGGAAAATTTAGTAAAATGATTATAATTCGGCTTCAAAGGCTTATGGGCTTAATATGAGCTTAAACGACAAGTTACAGTTCGAGTAGTTTTCTCATCAGTAAAAATTCCATTAAGTCTACTGTAAAATTCCTTGTTTAGCGTTGATATGTTGTTGGCTGCTTTCATTCGTTAGTTTTATTGATTGTTTATGCATGATGTTTTAAGCTCTCTTGTCTGTTTCTTTCTTTTTCTATAACAATATATTTTTAATTACTTAATCGTTTACCTCTTTTATCCTCGTGTTTAGATTATTTCGTGTCTGTCTCGCTTCATACTATATGTAAGCAATGCATATCATAGAATAAAGTAGACATTAAATGATTAAACTAATATCGTTATGCCGATAATAATTCTTCATCAGTAGGTTATGCGTTCAAATTCTTCTGTCTTTTTCTTAGTCTCACAATAATCTACTTGTAACCATAATATGAATTCGAATAGAGTCGGATAGTTGGATACAGTCTGTTGTTATTCATCATAAAAACTTACCCAAATTCTTTTGCATATTCTACATCAAATTTCGGAATTTCTTCATAGATAAAACCTAATGCTTCATTTGGTTTTTTCAATCGTAGAAAGGATCTTGATTCATAATTATTATTGTTTTGTTTATTTTCAATTCTTTGTTCCATCATACAGGCAAGAAATGTATCATGAAGACCACCCATCAATGCTTCCAATGATCCAGTACGTATCGGTCTAACTGGATTATCCATATTATGTATAGCTATTTGATTGAAAAAGAAAAAAAAAATAGTATAATTAAATAAAGAAAGAACAAAAAAAAATTCAAGAATCCTGTTTACTTAAAAGTAATGAATAATCCATAATATTAAGTTTTTCTAAAAATTCTACATCACATGTAAGAATATTTTTTAAATGATAATAAATATTTTTCGGAATTTTTAATCCATGTGGATGTATATCACGAAAATCATTATCTTTTAATGTTGCTGATTTTTTCATTCGTTCAGTAAAATTTGCATCACGTTTATAAGATGAACCTTTAAGATCATATTTTTCATGAATATCAATATTTGTTGGTATTATATTTGAAAATATAACAAAACGTAATGTAAATGAATCAACTGTAATTCCTCGTTGAGGTGAAATATATGGAATATAACCATAAACACCAAATAATTTAGCAAGAAATGTTTCTGGTCTTTGTTTAACATGTTCAAAATATGCATGAAGAAATTTTTGTTGAATAAATTTTGCATCATAATCACGTGCTGTTTTTATAAGATATGTTGATTTTGATGTTAAATAAAGTAATGAACCTGAACTAGACGGATTGACTATTTCTTTAAGTTCACCTTCACATATATGTCTTTTTAATGTATCAAAATTAATACCATAAATATGCATTAAATCACTAAATGTGTTAAGTCCATAAGCTTCAAAATCAAAATCAGATAAAAAATGAGGTGGTGTTAAACCACCAATAGCTGGAAATTTTTCTCGTTGAGTATATGTAGATGATTCAGAAGATTTTCGATCGTCTTGAGCAAGAAAATAGCCGATTCCTATTTGTTCGAAGAAAAAATTTTAAGATTACTATGTCATAATTTTGCGATAGAAAGATTCATTTCACTAGACGACTTCATAGGAAATAACATACTCAACGTGACCTGAACCGTGTTGAGTAGTTTTCAAACCAGAACTATTCGGGTTCGTTGCATACCTAATGTAGCTATTGTTAATAGATAGAAACACATCTAGACTTCAGATTTATTTACTCTGGTTAAGGTCTAATTGCAGTAAATATCATTTAGATATGCATCACTATTGGAGAGTAACTAGCAAAGTTTCTTGAGACTTCAAGACAGTTATTGGAAATGCTTCGGTTTTGTTTCAATGCAATGGTTACTACGCCGGATCAATTGATCCAAATGAAAGCATCCCCAACTTCTATGAAGAATCTAATATTTTTGAAGTAATTTCACAAAAGCTCGGATTTCTGAAAGTACTGTATTACGATGGCAAGAAAATGATTTCGTATGAAGTCTCAATGATATCTAACAAATTTCAAAATATTATTATTTGTATGGTTTATTTATTTAATTCTATTTACATTAGTTAACAGATATACTTGAATTCACTTTCATTTCTGTTGTATCGATATCAAGAAAAGTATTTCTTCAGATTTAATTCTTTTTTTTTTTATATAATAAATTTTCAAATTAACAAAATTATGTGTACATACCGATTTGCAGTGCATGCCGAATATCTTCACTTCGTACAACACCAGATGAAAATAATGCTTGTAATAGTTTTTGTTTGGCAAGTGCTCCTGTTGTATCAGTCATTGATGAAACATGTTCTTGAACTGTCGATACCCATGTCTCACCTTTCTCTTTAACAAGTCCAATCACACGATCAGTTATTGGACGTCGCTCATGATTATTTTTCAATGCTTGCATAGTGTTTGATATACGAGGGTCCTCTAAAACACCAGTGAGCTTGTCTTTTATAGCACGCCGCATTTTTTTATTTATTTGCTGATGTCACTATGTTTCATATATAGAGCTTGTTAAGTGGCAAATGTTTTTATTACAGCGACCCTAAATGATTAATAGAATATAGACAGCTTGCATTGAAGAATGTGAGTAGCGGAATGACGGTAGTATCGATATATCATCACAAAGAAAAGGAAAGGAAATATATGTCATTTATGGGCTTTTTCTTTGTCTTGTTCTATCGGTCAAAATGATTCATAAAGGTTCTTTCATCGATGAATAAGAAAGAAGTGACATATTGGAGGCATTACTTAGACAATGAACGATGTAATGGACGAACAGTAAAAAAAAAGAAGGACCCAGTGATAAGTTAAAACAAGAATGAGTACTAATAATGCAACTCGATTTTTTGATACATCAGGTTGTTTAAATTTATCTCGACCAGCAAGTGGTACACGAATTTCATCAGCTAAACAATCTAAACGAATTGTTACGCCTTCAATACCAATACGAGGACAAGTTAAAATTGATTTATATAATTTTGATCATATCGATTTTGCTGATTCAAAGTATGTTTTAACAAGTCCACGTTCACTTGAAGCTTGTGCTCGTCTTAATATCAAAGTAGAATGAAACTATTTTTTATGTAAAATTCAATTTTAAAATGAGATATTTCTCTAGCCAACAACATTACTTCCAAAAAAATTAATTGATATTGCATCTGATAAAGTACGTTTTTCAACATTAGGTGATGTTCATGATGAAATGGAAACTGATCGATTAGGTTTGAAAATATTTTTGTTTTTATTATTAAAAATAAAATTGATAAAAAAAAATGAAATGAAATATATTTTTAGCACAATTACAACGTTGTCGTGATGAACGTGAAAAAATTATTCAAGCAGAAGAACTTACAAAACTATCATCCAGAAAAATAATTGATTCTAGTAAGAATTATGATTTTGAAGTAGCAAAAAGAATTTGTTTTCGATTTTATTTTTCTTCAGAACCATCTTATGTCAATGATAGATCAATAGCTCGAAGGTTATGAAAAACAGGAAATTTTTATTTCAATTCTAATTTTCTTATATTTATTTTATTTATAGAACATATACAAAAACAAAATCTAATCCTTCCAGTACACATCTAAATGATCTTAATAATCCATCAACTACTAAACTAAATCACTTTGAATTAACATCTAGAGAAAAGTCTTTTCAAAATGATAGAAATTCACATCGTCCACCAAGACCAACATTATCTACTCGTTCAACTGTAGCCAATTCAAATTTGAAATCATCTGCTATTCAATGGTCATCATCTGATGATCTGAACGAATTGCGAACATCATCATCAGCTGATTTCTTAGATGATGTTCGACGAATGGTGAATGAATTGATTAATTATTCAAATCGTTATTTTTAAAACTACTTTCGTTTTTTTTTTGTTCATTAGGATCAAAGTCTTCAACGTATCGGTATATCGAAACCGAACAAAAATGAACAATATATGTAAGAACATATGTATTTTTCGTTTCAATTAAATAAATTTTTTTAAAATATTAGAAATGGACTTGAAAATGCTAAACAAATGATCGAACAACGTGCAACACAAACAGTCGTAAACAATGATGTTGAAAATTTAACATCAGAAAAAAATCAATATGAACTTTTACTTTCACAGTATATATCCTTTTTTTGTTGCTTGTACAAAAAGAAAAACAATCATTTATTGTTGTTTGATTTTTCCTTTTAGTTATGATCATGAACTTAAAATTCAAAAAGCAAGAGAAAATGCACGTCGAACAGAAAAAGAAAAAGAAGCTGAACGTTTTGAATCATTAATGCATGATTTCTTAGTAAGATAAAAATATTTATGATAGCTGAATATAAAAATAAGTTTTTCTATTTAAATATTTTCCATAATAAATCATATTTTGTCTTTGAATGAAAGTTCTCAACAAAGGTGAACATTTTATTCAGAACAGCGGAATCGAACAGATCTTTCTTAGAACAAACAGCAAAGCATAGCGAATTTTTCTGGTCAATAGAAATATAAAATAGATCATCATCTTTTTATTGATACTACTTCGGGACAGATGATCTCTTTTCTTGGAGTTCCGCTACAAACAAATTTTCAATCTCTAATGTTAAATTGAGAATGTATTAAAAACAAGAAGATAATAACTGAATTTAGGATGTATTTTATTTTCTATTGTTCTTATTCATTCTATAGACTTGTAAAGAAGAAATCGATAAACTATCAAATATGAAAATTCGTATGACACTATATTTTCATATCTTGTTGATTCAAGCTTATATTCATACATCTTTTATTGCATGATTTAATGAAACGATTTTTAAAGATTAACTTTATGAAGCTTTTTTTTTATTTTATATTTAGGATCAAACAATGGCTGAAGAACGTCGACAAAATGAACTTCGTCGAAAAATGGAAAAACTTCATCATTCCCGTCAACTTTATGAAACATTACAAGCAAAAAATCATGAATTGTATGTTATTAAATATGATTGTTTCTTTAGTTTTTCTTTTTTATATTTAATTTTAATAGACAAACGGCTGATGTACAAAAACGTCGATTAGACTTACTTAATGAAATAAAACGAAAAGATCGTCGAGCGGAACATTTTATTAAAGATAAACAAGATACTACTAAATTAGTATAAATTTATTTTTGTTTAATTTATTTAAATTTAGTTTTTATTTCTTAATAGTCTCGAACATTAGCTAAATCATCTCAAGGTACTCGAGAATATATAAGAGAAATAAATGAAAATTTTGATCAAAAAGCTAAAAAAGCTAAATTAGCAAGTAGTATTTTAGTAACAAAACCAAAAGTAACTGTCGATCGACGTCAATTACAATCATCAATTCGAACATAAATCAACTTATTTTCTCACTGTTAATATGCACTAAAAACAGTGAAATTTGCTCATTTTGTTATAATAGCTATTCATTTGTGTAAAAATGTCTGTTTTAAAACAATGTGATTTTTTAGTTACATGATTGTTTTTTTTTTTTGTATTCTTATATTTGTAGTGAAGTTGCGAATTTTTAAATAAAGATATAGACATTAAGTTATTGAAATAAGGTCTTCTAATAATATAATAGCAGAAGAGTAAAATTTTCCCACCACTACTATTACTATGGTTGAGATATTTCAGAATAGTTCAAAACATGAAAATATCGGAGTATAACTTTTCCGCATCGACATCGAATAACTACAGAAGTAGGAGACGTTTGAAAAACTTGTTTGAAAAAACCTAAAATTATAGGTAGAAAAGATTTTTATTTACATTCCGCAATAAAAGTTCAATAAATTTCACCTACATAAAAATAATAGTATGTCTTATGCTATAAATTCATGATGTAACGCCATCTGTACAGAATGCCTGCCTTAAGGCACGATTTAGAATAAATTCGTAGTCATTTTTATAGTAACTCAGATAAGAAATGAGCTATTACATAAGATATTTATTTTGACTTTAATTGTGAAGTATTATGCACATTATAATCTCGCGTGACGCATTAGCATTATTTTATTGTTTTTTTTTATGAATCAGAAATTTTCTCACATTGATATTTTCCATAGCGGTTGATCATAATAAATTGATAAAATAATTAAAGTTTCACCTCAAACTACAATCCCATAAATGAATTATAGGTAAAAAAAAATGAAAAATCTCGCGTGCTAATCAATTCTTCAAGTTTTATTTCAGTTTTGATAAAAAAGAAACAATACAATTTTCTCTTCCTCTTCAATGGATTTATTTACCATTCACTAACTTTCATTTGACAGCACGCCGATCGTTGTTTAATCTCGTGTGATAGAAAATCGAACAATGGTTGTACAACTAAGACTTTTAAAAAAATTATTTAAAAAAAAATCCCGATAAAAATGCAAAGACATCACTTATACGGCATTAGAGGAACATGATCTGAAAAAATCATAAAGATGGATTAAAAACAACACAAGATATTGAACTTTTTCATATTAGAATACAACAGTACAATAAAATTGCGATTTACTCGTTTACAAATAACAGGTAGTCCGGAAATTCCTGAAGTAGAAGTTTGTTCAATATTGATCTATTCGAATGTATTCTAAACGAATGAAGAAAAAACTGTTGAATAGAATCAGACTTTTTCACTATTTCCGAATATGTGTTCAGGTTTTCTTTCTGGAATAAGATTGAACAACTATCAGCAAGTTTTGTGAAAAAGTTCAAATGTATGTCTGTACAAAGAAAAATAGCGATCAAACTATTTTAGCATTTTGAATTTGATAAATTTCAATTGAAATACGAAGTTGATCAAAGTAGCTTTCTCTACAATTACTATTTTAGACCTTTTGAAACAATCTTGATGTTAATTGTTCAATTTTATCCCAGAAGAAAATTGTATAGACGGCGAAACCTTTAGATTCTAGAGTACTCTCAACACTTTTTTTTTTTATAAGTTATTCATCTGAAAGTTAAAAATGAAAGAAGACAAATTTTTGAGTGCCATTCAGATAAAATATGGTTAGTCTCTGTTTGAACGTTTACGTTCATTGAAATGCTACTTAATCTAGTTCAGATTTTTCGCACAGTTCTTCATCACTTGTAACGAATCACGATGTGTGATTCAATATATTTTTTAAGTAGGCTTAATTGAGAATATTGTATTATTCGTTGCCGAAGGTGATGAAAAAAATTGGTGTTTATACAAAAAAAATCTCTGAGCCTACAAAACGTGAATCTATAGAAGGTTTTCGCTTTTCCAAGTCTTCTACCTTCATCATCTATACTTATAGAACACGAGTTGGTAGTAGATAAAATGTGTACTAACCTAGTAGCAACGTGTCACTGATCACAAGAAAATAAAAATTAAACAGAGTTAAGTTCGAAAATATGAAATCTAATGTTTACTGAATATTCTTCATTAATTTTTTTTCGTATGAAACTCTGTATTTTTTAAGTCAATAGGATATATCATTGATTCGTAAGAATAATAAATCATGATATTCACTCATATAGACAGGTAAAATGATTCAAATATAAAGAAAAGAGAAAATTACCATTTTTGTTCTTGGTCTTTGTTATAATCACAATACTTAATCTAACCTTGATATGCATGACGTACATGTATAGATATTTATAAATACCTATACCGATGATTTTTCTCATCACATTTTTTGTGTATGTGATTCAATCGATTAGTAAGTATATATATTGTCTCTTTTTTGCCTAATACATAAGATAATAAATATCATTTTCTATATATTTTCTTTTGTTGTTGGAATATATGGCGGCGCCGGTACCACAATTTCAAACATTAATAACGGTAAATTTTGAATTAGTTTAAGAATTTGTATTTTGTTATTTTTTATTTTTTTGAAGGTTGAAGAATTTCGTAAATTAATTAATAAACATTTTGAAAGTATAATTCTTTTTTTTCACTTCATTTTAATTTAGTTATGATTTTTGTTTAGCACAAATTTCTGAAGGTCAACTATATGATGCTAGAGATATTGAACGGTTTAATACAATCGATGCGTATACTGTAATGTTTATACAACATGGTCAATTTAGTACAAGTTTTAATCAAGAACGAGCATTAAGTACTTTTAATGGATCAATGAGTTGGAGAAAACGACATAATGTTCATGGTAAAAAAAACAAAAAGATAAATCTTTAGTTAAATATAAAAATTTTGTTCTTATAGATATTTCTACCAGTGAATTTCCTGCTGATTATTTTGATCGACATGCAGTATATTTTAAAAATCATGATAAATATGATAATCCAATACGTATATATGAAAGTTTTAGTTTTGATTAAATATTTTATTTCTTTAATTATTAGTTCATGTTGTTGTTCGTAAATTTAATAAAGGACAAGAAGATAATGAAGCAATTAAACGTTTTCTAACATATTATTTTGAAAAACATGTTCGAGAATATCCTGGTCAAAGAATTGTTATTCTTTTTGATATGAGTGAGGCTGGTATTGGACATTTAGTAAGCTAAATTACTTATATTGTGTTTTTATTTTATTTAATTAATTTATTATTTGTATATTCAGGATTATGATTTAGTTAAATTTATTATTGCTAGCATGCAAATCTTTTTTCCAGGTTTATTAGGTATATTTGTTTTTCATTTTTATTTATATTCATGATACATATATAAAATTTTTTTTTTCTTTTTTAGCTTATCTTCTTATGCTTAAAATGCCATTTCTTTTATCAGGTAAGATTGTTCTGTAAGGATTTTAAAGAAAATTTTTTGTTTTCTCATAGCGGTTTGGAAGTTAATTCGTACTTGGATGGCGAGTGAAGCTGAACAATTTGTTAAATTTGTCAATGTTAAAACAATTACAGATTATATTTCACCTGATCAATTACCAACGTCAATGGGTGGTACTGCGGATGAAAGCTAATGATTCTTCATTTATATTAAAAATAAATACATATTTTACTAAAATTAATAAAAAAAGTGCCGTTTTTTTTGTTGTTCACGTAAATAACAACAAGTCTAGTTGAATAATTATATCATCATATTATAGAAGTATTTCGATATAAAGGAAAGATAAGATAAAAGAAATGTTCTATAAAGACTAATGAGGAAGTCTTCTAAAATCTTCTCTTCTAATTTATTTGGCTTAAATTTTTTCTTGAGGCCCAAGATTTTCTAAAAGCTCATTTTTTCAAATTTTCATCTAGAACTTTTTGCGTATAGAGAACTCATCTAGACTAGATTCTATAAAAAAAACCAGAAGCTTCGAACAAAGTCCCTTCGAGATATGAAACTTATAATGCATTTTTTGAAAGCTTCATATTTCGAAGAGATTCGTGAATTTTTTTAGGGGAAGTACTATAGGTCAGTTCTCTATGTTTCCAAAATGTCTGATCAAAATTTGAAAATACGAGTTTTTCAAAGCACTGAGGCCTCAAAACAAATCGATATCTTAGTAGAACATTTTGTAATATCTGTTGGCAAAAAAATCATTGAAATCGAAAAGGGAATTCTAAGAAGATTCCCATATAAGTTATTTGATTGTTCTGTTTGAATTATAAATATTTGTAAAGTTCTGGCAAGTCGAAACTTCTTGTTGTCATGATTGGATAGAGCTTACCGAATTACCTCTAAAAATCTTGCTTTTTGCCATATTCAAACGATATTTTTGCAGTGGAACTTAGGCAAGCCAGACAAGTCTATAAAAGTTGACATATACCAAAAGCATCAAGTCTCAATATTTATCCGAATTTTTATTTTACTCGTCATATGGTTTGGGAAAAACTTATGCATACTTGTTTGAAAAATATTGTTTGATTATTGAAAAAATTGATCATTTCGATATGATAGCAATAAGTCATAATTACCGATTTTTACCCAAAGATTTTAATCATCAGAATTTCAGTGTCAAATGAAACCAATATCATGTTCAGAATTAGTAGAACCATCTGCATCGAATAATATACTCAATACTTAAAACTGATTTTCATCAAATTTCAGTTCTTACATCTGCTGACTGTTATTCTCGAATACTCTGACTTGTGCTTGTCCTAAAACCAAAATTTCCTGATAGCTTCAAATATCGATATCTAATAAAGAACGAATCATCATTTATTCGATTGATTACGAAGCTTTTTTCTCCAAAAAATATTTACATTTTACTGGAATCGGGTTTTTTTTCTGTCGCTGTGACTTTGAAAATTTACGTTCTGATTGATCAGACAATCAAAGTCATGAAAAAATTGTAAAGTAGCCATTGAGAAATTCATTACTAAGAGAACTCTATTAACAATTATTAACATGTTTCTTCGTTAATTTTAGTGCCTTCAATCAGTTTTTTTTGTATACCTAATTCGATGGATAACGTTCTCTCTCAATATTTGATACGGTTGATGAACCAAGTTTAATTGGAAAAATGTCTTTGTGAAATATTTTTTTTAATGATGGTCTCGAAAACTGAATACCAACAATTGAGTATAATCTGAATATAAAAATATTTGTATGAAATTCAATTTATCAAGATGAAAAAATAATAGTATTTGTTTCATTCATTGACGGAAATATAATTCAACAAGAAAATAACATAGAAGACCTGTTTCTGAAAGATAAAATGAAGTTTATAATAGGTTTATTTTTGTTTAATTAGATGAATATTATTTCATGTAGGAAATCATTCTTTGAATTCTGTCATGAAAATAATAACCTTGGTTTACATATTCAATCAAAATATATGAAAATCCATAAAAATCTTAACCGTATGCAAAATGATGATGCAAAAATAATTAAGAATTTTATACTCAAACATCTACATTTGACGTGAAAATAAGGTTTAGTTAATCGTTCTAGATCAAAAAAAACCCAAATCCTCATGAAACAAAATCGAGACTCACATCATGTTGGGCTTTGTATTACACTTATTACAATGAATGAATTTAATAAAGAACCAATTCTGAGTCATGTATGTAGAAGTATGAAATTCGTCTTCATTTATCTCTTAATTAGATATTTGTGATTCGGCTAGTAATGAATCATCAAGTGATACTTGAAGATAATTAGTTCAAGTTGATCATATTAATATATGAATAATGACATGCAAAAAGTTGTTGCATGAGTATTAAATGAAAATTAATCAGCTACTTAACAATATGTAATAATGAATAGATAGATTAATGTTAAAGATGTTTATTGAAAATAAAATAAATGCTAGTGCCCTGTTGGCATAGCATATATGTTTTTCGTCCGTTTTATGTTGTTCATGAGTGAGTAAGTATTTTTTGTAATGTTAATTGTTGCGAAACATTTATGATATAAACAAAAATCAATTACTGTAATGATGTGCATTTGTACAAAAGACTATTTCAGCTTTGTTAAATTAATGTTGATTGTTGATTTTTTCTTTATAGAAAATTAGATATTGTGGTGAATTAATATGACAATAAAGATCCAAAATATCTTCGAAGAAATATAAAAAATTTTCTTTATTCGAAAAAATATAGAGTAAATAGAAATTACGTAAAATAGTGACAAGTGATACTGACAAGCTTTTAGCGGCAACAACTTTGTCAAGAAATCTCAATACCTAATATTTTTCCTCAATACTTAATTTATGAAATGTATATTTGAAACATTGTTATTGTTAGTTATTTAAAACTGACCTACAATGAAATTTACTTGAAGAAATTATTAGAAACTTTTGGAAAGGCATGATTCTATTTTTTTGTAAACATGAAGCTAGAAATTGACCAAACTATTTTGACTAGATGATACTCGCAAAATTTTGCATCATTTCATAGTTGATCTGCATACATTCTCAAAGTTTGACGCAGTGGAAATGTTGATGATGGACGAACGAGTTGCCATGAACATATTTGAAATTTGTTTCTTTGTCTGTTGAACTTTTATATGTATTCATTTGTTTTAGATAATCTATTGCAAAAATAATGTTCATCAAGAGCACTAGAATTCTTATAGAAAATAAAAAATAATTTTTGAACTATCATGAAGGTAGTACAAAGGCAAGGAAAAATACCATGAATGCTCACTTCTGTTCGAAACGACCTGAATCAATATGCTTATTCTTTGGGAAAATAGAATTTCGGTCACTAACTATAAGTATTGTGAAATAGTTAATATAGCGTAGTCTTTTTTTGACTGGTTTTTACAGATGTTATGTCTATAATAGACAGTCGACGGGTGACAATGAGGATGTGTATGTGTGGGTGACGAGGATAACGAAATGAGTTATATTATTGTCTAGCTACGTGGCTGTAGCAGTTTATTAACCATGACTCAAATTAAGAATGAAAAATTTGGAACAGCAATTTTATCGTGACTTTTCTCCATACTGTGTTTCTGAAACTACTATTTATTCTGTTTTGTAATGGAATATTTTTGTTTTTGTCATCTTATTCTGTGTAACTCGAGGCATTTTTTCATGTACTTATTGTTTTTTCTACTAATAATAGATTTGGTAATCAAATGTGTATTTTTCTGGTGATCATTTCGCAACAAATATATTTTGGTGATTGAATTTGTATTCTTTAGTGATCAAAAAAAAATTCATATCCTTATTCTTTCACACTTTTCTCAACAATATTCATTGTTGAATGGAACAAAACATCGAATTTTGAATGCGAACCTATTAAAATTTTATTTCTCAACTTTCGAATATTTGAATATACTACGTCAAAAAGTGTAAATAAATATAAATAGAGCCATTATCAAATTTAAGTGGGATAACAAATATTTTAACAAAAAAATACCAATGAATTATTATCATTGTGACCATTAGTTTAATGGAAAGCATAGTCGGCTGATCTTAAATGACACCACTTAAGTCTTTGTACGTATACATGTATCAAGGTTTTTTGGCATTGGGGAATAAATATTATTTGAAAAAAACCTGGCCAATTGCCCAACGGTTGTGCCCCTGATCATGCCAATGATTCTAACATAGAATATGAAAAGGATTTTTCTACATCTTAATTTTCAGACTATTTTTAAGGAAAAACTAAATGAAACAATCATTAGTGATGTGTAATCCATAGATATGAGGTTAGAGAACGATAATTTTAACCAAGAGACATTCAATATCTCAAAATTAATGAGAAATTGAACCACCAAGCACCTCTTGACAGAGAGCCTCCTGAAAGCTGGGCAATGAGAGAATCAAATACTTGGTGACTCTCAAAAACTTAATTTATGTAAATCTTTTCCTTCTTGTTGAGATTGAAATACTTTAACAAGTTACATAGAATTCATACATTAGATATGTGAAAAATACTCAAATAAAAGTGTTACGAAAACCTTTGGTAAAGAAAGAACTTTCATATTTTCCACTCTGACATTTTCCTGCACAACCGTAAAAAATCGTATTACAAGTAGTCTTCCAGAGAGTTTTGGTAATTAACAACAAAAGATGTCAACAACTATGCATTGATGGATTTCATTAGTGGTGGGCAGCTTTAATAAATGCTACGGTTGCCACCTTGTCTCGCTTCATGCGATCGATATTAATAAACGTAAAATTCATAGATTATTTATAATATCTGGATTTTACTTGAGATGAATGACACATACAGAAAATTGGATAAAACTTGTATCGTATAGAGCAAAAATACAAATTTCGCGAACGACTACTATATGGTTTTTCGTACCGTAAATAGTTTTATTATTCGATAAATGTTCTATAATTTCCAAATATGTTTTCAGCGAAATGCCGGCGATACAATTACTATTATTTTTTCATTTGAGATCAATTCATTGAATATGCATAAAGAAAAAGAAATCTTAATTAAGTTTAGTAGAAACCATGGAGAATTGACATTTGTTAACAGAAGAATAAAATCAAATGCAGAAAAGTACAAAATCATCTTTAACTGGACAAGATGAATCTTCGTCATTATCGAATACATTACCGATCAA